AGACATGCTGTAAATGTCTTACCCTCTGGGTCTCCCCTCTGACTTCGTTTTCGTTGACCCTTGAGTGGATCACATTAACCACCCTCGGTCCTCCTGCTTGTGTAACTGATTAGCATTAGGGGAAAAAAAAATTATTCCAAAATTAACAAGCCTTGTCAAAATGTCACGTGAGTGTGTCTGGTCAACAGAAAAACCCAACATTCTTTGACTTCATATGAAAAATTGACTATTTTAATAAATTATTTTAATTTTTTTATTATTTTAATAGATTAAAATATTTGAATTTGAAAAAATGATTAGATTCTTCAATAATTAAATATAATGTTTGTAGAAAAAAAAAAATTATATATTTAATATAATATTTTATCTTATTAACAATTTTAATCTATTTTATCTTTTAAAAATTTTACCTAAAAAAAAAAAAACTTCACCAAACAAGGCGATATTACAACTGAACGCACACTCTCTCTCATTCATTGTCACTGCACTCACTAACACATATTGGTGATGTTTGGTATAACTGTTAAAACAGATTATACATTATACCTTAACAGATTATAGATTATTACTTTAATCAGAAATTGTTAATCTGTTTGGTATAACTGTTGGATTATAGGTTTAAATTGCTGAGTAATACTTGTTAAATAAGCTGTGAAATGCTTTTTCAATTAATTTTTATTTTTTATTATTCATTATTTGTCTACATTTCTCATAAAAAATAATAAGAATATTTTATAGTCCATTTGGGTCTTTTTCTATTTTTAAAAAAATAAAAAATAAAAAAATTTAAGAGTATAACCGTAAATTAACATGTCCACAGCAGAAGCTGATAATCAGAAGTAACGAGTGAGCAGCTTCTCAGAATCAGTTTTTTTGACTTAAAATAAGTTGTTAGAATCAGAAACTGTTTAAAATAAGTTTAACCAAACAGTCCAAAATAACTTTTTAAAAATCAGAAGTCATAAGTTGGCTCAAAAAAGTACCACCAGCCCATTATTAAGCACTCCTTTGGAAAGAGGATTAGGTTCGGTTTGGAACTATTTTAATTACAAAAAGATAAAATAAATTTTTTAGTTTAATAAAGTAAAATATCATATCTTACTTCTAATTATTTCATTTTTTCTCTCATAAAATTCAAAAATCTCATACTAAAATAATTAAAAAATCAACCCACTATCCAAACCAACTCAAAAGCTGTTTCTCCAAAAAAAAATAAAAAAAAATAAAAAAATCACATATTAAAACTGAACATTCAGAGTCTCACACTCACACTCACGGCACTGACAACTGAACAAACACTCCGCTCGCAACCCAATCCCGCTTTATTATAGGTAACAAATAGATAATGGACATCTTTATACATGAATATGAGAAATAGAATTTTGCTATTCATATATTTAAAAGTTAAACTTATTTTTTAAATTTAATAATGTGTAAAAAAATTTAATTAATAATTAAATATTTTTAAATTATTAATTAATTATTTTCTCGACACATCACTAAATTTAGAAACTAAGGCCTCGTTTGGCAAGTTAACATTTTAGTCAAAAAGTCAAAAAGTTACTAAAAATTCAAAAAGCCTAAAACTTATACAAAAAATTCAAAGATTCTTTTTTCTTTAATTTTTGTAAATATAAACTGAAAATGGAATGGTTACCAAACAGACTCAAAATATTTCAAATATATTGGGTCTGTTTGGTTTATTTTTCAAAAAAAAAATTGAAAAAAATTCTCTACAAATAAATTTTTAAGAGTAATCAAATCAAATCAATTTTTTTTAAAAAAAATCTCAAAATTTCGTTTGGTTACCTACTTTCTAAAATCATTTTTTCTTTCATACATATCAAATCAATCACTTTTTTAAAACTCTCTCTCCAAAATAATTTTTTCAAAATCATTTATGGAAGGTAAACCAAACAAGTTTTTGTACTCTTTATCTCTAAAACTACTCTACAAACACAAACCAAACACACCTATTATTTCTACGAATTTATGTATGAACATTTAAAAAATATATAAATATATAAAATTGCATATAAAGTAATATAAATTAATAGACAAATAAAATATATGTTATCAAATTAAATGTGCTATATTTATATACCAATTAGTGCACTCAACAAAATTTTAATGTGACATGTGACATATTCTGTCACAAAGAAGATTTCTAAAAAAGCTATAGCGTATTTTTTCACACAATGGGGGTGTTTGTTTCAGTTTTTTAGAGTCAACTTATGACTTTTAGCTTTGAAAAAGTTATTTTGGACTGTTTGGTTAAACTTATTTCAAACAGCTTCTGATTCTAACAGCTTATTTTACCTCAAAAAGTTGATTCTGAGAAACTGCTCACCCCTTGCTTCTGATTATCAACTTCTACTGTGGACATGTTAATTTATAGTTATACTCTTAAATTTTTTATTTTTTATTTTTTTAAAAATAGAAAAAGACTCAAATGGACTATAGATTATTATTATTATTTTTTTATAAGAAATGTAGACAAACAAAAAATAAAAATTAATTGAAAAAACTATTTCACAGCTTATTTAACAAACACTACTCAGCAACTTAAATCTATAATCCAATAGCTACACCAAACAGATTAACAACTTCTGATTAAAGTCATAATCTATAATCTGTTAAATTATAATCTATAAGCTGTTTTAACAGTTACACCAAACGGGGCCAATAACATCCACTTTTTTTTCTACTATAACATCCGATAAAAACCCAACAAAAAATGGAGTCATTTTTTGATGTACCAAAAAAAATAAAAAATTAAAAGAATGCTGATGTGACATTTACTTCTTCTTTTTTTTTTTTAAAAAAAAAAAAAAAAAAAACTGTAATACCCACTACTTGCTATAACATTTAACGAAATATTGAATTTATTATAACGGGTCTAATAAGACTTAAGAAAAATCTTGCGACTATTTAAATTACAATTTCAACCTTCAATATTGGGTGAATCTTCTTATTTTCTTTTTAAAACTCCAAAATCAAAAGTAGGAGGGAATCGTGCTTTGTTGTTTCTTTGAATTCGTAAATCAAAGTCGTTGATGCATTTCTTTAAACGGTTTCGCTACGTAGCTCGAAACTTTCGAGCTCGAAATTGGCCCGAATTCAAAATAACGTCGTTTTGATTTCTTTTCTTTTTTTTCATAACTGGCAAAAGAAAGAAAAAGAAAGAAGAGAAAAGACAGAGAGAGAGAGAATCATCCATCATCAACAAAAAATCAAACCCACATCAACAATAACCACGACAACACATATTTATCACTAAACACAGATTTTCAAAATCAAAAAAAAAAAAAAAAAAAACCAAACACAGATCTACCACAACAACACACAACATCATCATCATTAAACACAGATTTTCAAAATCAAAATAAAAAAAAAAAAACCAAACACAGATCTACACCGTCGCCCATCACCATTGTTCATCGTTCGTCGTCGTTTATTGTCCTCCGTTGTCGTTCGTCCACCGTCTCGTCGTCGTTTGTACTCCTTCAAGAGACAGATCAGAAGTTCTTGAGAGATATATTGAATGAGAGTGATGAGGTGAGAGAGGCGAGAGTGAATGAGAGGGATGGGGTGAGTGAGGTGAGAGAGGCAAGAGTGAGAGAGAGGAGAGAGGTGAGAGTGAGAAAGAGGTGAGAGTGCTGAAAAAGGACTTTCGAGCAAGTCGAGCCCAATATATTCGAGCTACGGATCATTTTCCTTCTTTAAAGCATAAGAACCCTGCCACCACCGTTGGATCTTTTATTACTTTTTACCTGCAATCATTTCTAAAGGATCGCCAACAATAATCAAATAAATTATCAAATTTAAATTTGATAAAATAGTTTATTTTTTTGCTGCTTTTACTGTTCATCAAATAAATCTTTAAATCTAAAATTTCTCCAACTTTTATTAAACTAAGAATGGATGTGCTTTTTATTAAATTAATGTTCATTGTAGTTAGATTTTCACTACCAAATATCTCTCCAAATATCCCTTCGGATGACTATTTCAAGATAAAAATTATACTGACCGATTAACTGACCGAACATCTGCCTGATCATTTGTCCAATTGATCGATAATTTGATGAAACTCCTATTAAAAAATAAATAAATAAATAAACAGATGTCCTAATAAAGACTTCCCATTGACAATTGACGTGATGACTTACTTTTCTTTGGACTATTTTGGGAAGTGGGTTAAAAGTCAGTTCTCAGCTTTTAACCCACTTTCCTCTTACAAAAAAAAGTCAAAAAATAGTTTTGAGTGATTCTACTTACACCACCATTTTACCTCTTTGCACCTTGCATATGAGTTTTTTTTCCTTCCAAATTTATCCATGTGTGAAATTACTTTTAAGGACAAAACACTAAAATTAAATATATTTGATTATCTCCTTACACCCCTTGGTCTTCAATCCCCACTCCTCTTTTTCTTTTCTCAACTTTTCTTTTCTCTTACACATCTCTTTTGAAAAAGTAATCAAAGAAAGCAATAGATGAAGACACGGTGGTGAAGAACCAAAAAAAAAAGTGAAATTGTGAATTTTTTTATTTGTTTTGTAGGTTTTTGTTTCAATTTTCTACGCCAATCTTTGACTTTTTTCGATATTTCGAAATCGAACAAAATAACATAGTTCGGTATCAAACTGCCGAACAAAAAATATAAGTCTGGTATCCAACTACCTGATAAAAGATACATTTTCAGTAATATAAAGCCGGACTTTTTAAATTTGTTCGGCTACTCATTGCAATGTATGTTTAGTTTCATTTTTGTGTTTTTTTGCTTGGAATGATTATACTTATACTCATTACAACAACGCAAGTACTGCATTATTAGTGGCTTCTAGTAATGAATTCATTACAGAAGAAATTTGTTAAGTTTTTTTATGAATATGACTTTTTCTTATTTTTAATTTGTATTAAGTTTTATTAATAATTTGACGTATAAATGTATTTATTATGTTTAGATTTTTAGTAGTCATCAAGCATTAATTAAATAGGCTTCTGACGTTGGGAGGAAGACTGGATTTGTCATTGTTGTAAAGACATCAGATGCGGGAGATAATGACAGAAAACCAAGACTTACATTTGCTTGTGAAAAAAGTGGTTACTATAGAGATAACAGGAAGATCAAGGGGGAATTATTGAGGTTGACAGATTCTAAAAAGTGTGGATGTCCATTTTTATTAAGGGAGGAAAAATTACCTACAAATGATGAGTGGATGTTGCATATCTTAAGCGGAGTGCACAATCATCCGTCTGCTGAACATTTCGAAGAGCACTCATTTGCTGGTAGATTAGCTAAAGAAGAAACATCCTTATTAGTTGACATGTCAAAGAGTATGGTGTGACCAAAAGAGATATTGGTTACATTGAAACAAAGGAATGCCTTTAATGCGATAACAATGAAGACAATCTACAATGCACGTCATCAAAATTGAATAGTACAGAGGGCAGAAAGATCACAGATGCAACAACTATTAGGGCAATTGTCGATTCAAAATTATGTTGAGTGACATCGATGTGATGATAGAGAGATGGTGACTAACTTGTTTTATGCACACCTGGTCAGTTTGGAGTTGTTACGTGTATTTTCACATGTGTTGATTATGGATTGCACATACAAGACTAATAGGTATCGACTCCCTCTCTAAGAGATTATTAGGGTAACATCAATAGACTTGACATTTTCAGTTCCTTTTGCTTATCTTGGTCATGAATGAGAGCACATTTATACATGGGTTTTAGGCGTATTGCGTACTGTTATGGAGAATACTGCTTTTCCAAAAGTCATTATTACAAATAGAGAGTTGGCTTTGATGAAAGGCATATCAAGAGTTCTACCTATGGGCACTAATCTTTTACGTAAATGGCATATTAGCAAGAATGTTTTGATGAAATGCAAGAAGGTTTTTGAGACGAAAGATAAATGAGATAAGTTTATGCATAGTTGGAGTGCTTTGGTATTGGTTAGAACAGAAACAGAATTCACTAAACAATTTTCCAATCTAAAGACCGAATTTAGTATGTATCCTCAAGCTATTAAGTATGTTACTGCCAATTGGTTAGAGCCATACAAAGAAAAATTTGTTGTAGCTTGGACAGACAGTAGTATGCATTTCGGAAATACTACTACAAACAGGTAAATTATGGTTATTATATTTATGAATTACTATAATTTTTTGATTTTTGTATTAAATACCAAAATATACATACTTGTAGGGCGGAGAGTTCTCATGCTAAATTGAAGAGGCAACTTGGATTAAGTCAAGGCAGTTTTGAAACATCTTGGACCAAAATACATAATTTGTTAGAGTTACAGCATGCAGACATTAAAGCCTCATTTCAGCAAAGTTTGATTGTAATCCAACACAACTACACACCTACTGAGTTCACTAAGTTGCGTGGTTTTATTTCAATTTGTAGTTTGGACAAAATATTGGTAGAGTCAAAGAGATCGAATAGTGTGGGAATGGATGTTGCAGTATGTGGCTACATTTTGCAATGTATACATGGGTCGCCATGTGCACATGAAATAGCTGAGTATTTTCAACAAGGTCAACCGATTCCCCTCTCGTGCATAAATCCTCATTGGAGAAAGTTAGATATGCTTCCAGTTTCAAAAAATGCTTTTATGGAGTTGGATTGCAAAACAGAGACTGATTTTTTTATTGAGAAATTCCAAATGATTAACGAGGCGCAACAAGTGATCCTTCTTAAGAAGTTGATGGAGTTAATTAGTCCAGACAGTACATTTTTATAGAACTTGAACTCAAGACTGACATGCGAAGTAGGGGCCGAGGTCAAAGACGTGGTTAATTCAAAATCGATACATCTACCAAATGCGAGCCATCTGCGTTTGAGTTTGTACTATCTGGAGAATATAGTTATTCATAGGGTGTTACCATCTCAACGGCACCAGCTCGTAAGCAACTGCAACGGAAGAAGGCAAAAAACGATAATGTATGTAATCATATAAAACTTGTAACTAGGTACAAAATTTATTTTAATAGTTGTTCAGCCTCATTTTAATTATTTCATATATCCATTGCTGTATATTTACGATGTAGGTCTGTATGATGCAATTAACAAATCGTATCTCTTACTTCGAATAATTTTCGGAGATGTTAAGACCATATATCCATCACATAAAAGATGTATAAGCAGATGGCAATTGTGGTTTCAGGGCAATAGCTGGATTGATTGATTTAGGTGAAGATGATTGGCAACAAGTTAGGCGCAACTTGTTGACTGAGTTACATTCGAATGTAGTGCACTATGTGCAACTATTTGGTTCACAAGAAAGGGTTGATAACCTTAACTCTATCTTATCTTACTTCGAACCTGGCCCTGGATTTAATCATTGGATGACTATGACTGACATGGGCCATTTGATAACATCATACTATCGAGTTGTTCTTTATCATTTATCCATGCAATAATACTTGACGTTTCTACCACTTAAATCAGTATCGATTGCAACATCTGATCGAAGAGATATTTGCATTGGATTTGTAAATGGAAACCATTTTGTACAGATAACTACCGAGCCTACTTAGATCATTACCATGTCTTATTTTGCATTTCTACTTATTGATTTCTTTGTTATAAGTTTATTTGCAACCTAGTAATCTAGTACCTCTGATAACAAATAATTGGATTTATTTTCATCACTCGTGTGCTAGTGGATGGAAGAAAGCATATAGTATCCTTATTCATCAATTCTATACTCTTATTAGTCCTGACATAGTAACTACTGAAACAATCAATATAGACGAATTGTGATAACATGTTTGATTGATGGATGCAAATAATGATAGATTTTATGGATGTTTTTATGGATATTCGTACACTTGATTTTTTTTATGAAAACTTTTATGGATACTTTTTATGTATGATTTTATAGATGCGTGTTTGATTTATAGATATTTTTTATCGAACTGGATTAATTCAAATTCATTAACATTGTATTACCGAATAGATCCAAATTATCGTTTGGAACAAAGTGGCTCTGTAAATGTATAGCAACAAAACGTTGGACAAATATATTTTTTCCAGCAACATAACACCGAAAAAATGTAATTTGTCTAGTACCGTGTGACCAAATAGACACTTCACAGTGGGCTTCACTGACTTTGTTGTGAAGCAAATTGAAATTATCCAATTGTACATCAACATAATGTTGGAAAAAAATAGTTTGTCTGGTAACATGACACTGGAGTAATTGAAATTCATTAGCATTTTATTACCGAACAGGCCGTCACAAATTATTACCACATTATTTGGAAGAAAGTGGCTCTGTAAATGTATAGGAACAAAATGCTGGACAAACCAATTCATTCCGGCTTTATAACACCAAAGTTTTGTAAATTGTTTCGCATTGTGTGATCGAACAAACACTTCAATGTGGGCTCCACTGGTTTTGTTGTGAAGCAAACTGAAATTATCCAATTGAACGGTAACATAATGCTGGGAAAAAAAATTGTATCTGGTAACATGACACTGAAGTAATTCAAATTGATTAGCATTGTATTATTGAACAAGCCCAGCACAAATTAAACAAACATTGTTTAGGAGAAAGTGGCTCTGTAAATGTATAACAACAAAATACTGGAGGGATCTATTGTTTCCGGCAACTGAACACCAGAAAAATATGGGTGTAAAGAGATGGGTTTTTAAGATTTTTTTTACCTTGAGGCTTGTTTTGGTAAATATATTGGGTGTAATGAGAATCTAATATTTTTTTTAGTGGTGTAATGAGATTAATGGTATAAAGAAGTAAAAGAGTGGTGTAAGTAGAATCACTCAATAGCTTTTAACCATCTTCCCAAGATACCCTTTTGTTTGGCAGTGTTTGATTTATATATTTAGATAGAAATTTTAGAAAAAATAATATATTTTTAAAATTTTTTAAATTTATCAACCAAACACAATATAACAATATTTAGAAAGCCAAGGATTGCTTTAGAAAGTAGGTTGAAAGCTAATTTTTTAATTTTTTTTGCAAAAACCTGTAAAAAATAAGAAAAAGAGGAGAAGATGATATGACCCAAAAAATTAAAAATTAAAAAAAATCTCTTTTAATCAAGTTGTCAAAACAAGCCTTAGGTACCGTTTGGAAAGAAGGTTTGGAAGTTTTTTTTGGCTATTTTGGTCACAAAGGACAAAATTGGTTTTTTTATCCACAACAAATAAAATATCACATGTAACCTATAATCATTACACTATTCTCTTAAAAAAAAAGTCAAAAAAATTAAAAAGTTAAAAAACTCTTCCCAAATCAAACTTTTTAACCCATAGTAAAATAGTCAAAAAAAATTAAAAAATTAAAAAATTAATCCACTTCCTAAACTACGCCTAAATAATGTTAAGATTGAAGGAGAATTCTGCACCAATCCGATTTCTGTTTGGAATCGGAAATTGAAATTCCCGCTCTTGGAACGAGTGATTGTGAGATTGTGTTAGTGAGATGAAGTGATGTGTATATAGTCCTCAAATGAGGGTTTTAAAATCGAATGATTAAAAATATTTTTATTTTATTTTTCTATTAAAATCAATGATTCAAATTTAAATGCAGGCCATCTGTTTGGATAAAAAATATTTTTTAATGGAAATATTTTTAACAAATTTTTCTTTGAAAAAAATAACTTCTCGTGACGGTGAAGGTGAGAGCGGAGATGGTAGTGTGATCATATTCGTAAAATTTTATTAAATTTTTTTTTTCTCCTTTTAAAAAAGAAAAATATTTTTTTTCCTAAATAAACTTATTTTCATTGACTATGAAAAATATTTTTAATTAATTTTCATTTTGTCTTGTGGTAAATATAAGAAAATATATAAATTATTTTTTACTCAAATAAACGGATGGCATAAAAAATTTATGGGATAATTACCGACAAGTACAATTGTTGGATAGTCTTGAATAATTTTTTTCCTTACATCCTTGCCTCTCGCTTTTAGGATGACCAAATTTTAAGATTTTGCCTTTATTTAGGATGTGATTTAGTTTTTTAATTTTTTGATTATTTTACTTTAGGATTAAAATGTCCTTATTTGTGATAATTTTTTAAACTTTTTTGACTTTTGTAATAAAATAAAATGAAATAATTATAATTTAGATATGAAATTTTATCTTATTAACTTTTAATCTATTTTGTCTTTTTATGACTATTTTAACCCAAACCCTCTATGCCAAACATAAAACCTTTTTATATTTATTTTGTGTTTGTGCGATGGTTAGTTGGTATTGATAGTAATACTAAAATTTTGAAATGATCATTTGCTATTAATAATAATACTGACAAATTTGTCAAAATAATAAGTGATTAGGACATTTTTTACTTTTTTATGT